ATTGACTGATCGCGTGACAATCGTGTCCGTGTTTGTATGTACGCGGCAATCATTTTCGGCGACAACCAAAAGACAAAAGGCAGTGATATCTCTTTATGATAAATAACATGAAAGAAATGTCGATTTATATAACAGATAGAAACTGTTATAGAGGAAAAAGTAACATAATTTTTCTGTTCTTTTTAACATAAGATGTATTTTAACATAAATTTATATATTAATTGTATTGTTTTAACATTTTAAAACAGTGAATATTAACTCAACTCAGAAAAGTTCACACTAACATAATTATAATATGTTACATTAACATAAGAGCAAGTTAAAAATTTAACACGAAAATTTCTACACAAGAAAATTTCAACAAAAATACAAAATGTTTTCTATCATGAAGGATCGTTTGAAGATTCGTGTTTTGCTTTTTATAACTGTCAAATGTTATAATAAATAATCGGTCGGTCCATGGGCAGGAGCCATAGGCGAGGTAGTTAATGCCGTGGCGAGCTGTGTGTCGAAGTGTCGAAACAGGTGGACGAGGGAAGGAACCTCGAGAATGAACCGGAAGTGAGATGAGCTTTATTGTCAAGTCACGCTGGCATCGTGTCCTATCTCTATCTTCTACAATAACCCCTCTGCTTCAGAAGTTTCCTTCTTTCCCTTATAGATGATCTACCCCCGTTCACTTGCTCGCAAGTACACATTTGAATTTGTAGTCATAAATAGAGAGATGACTGTATGAGAGAGAAACGTCATATTTCTCCAAAAATATAATTTATTGACAACTTATTTGTTATTGAAGTAATTTCTGAATATAACAAGTGAATGAAAAACGTTAATACGTTAATACACAAAAATAAAATGCTCTATAAAAATTGTCTTACAACATATAAACGTTTATTTATTAATATTTGTTATAAAAAGGGAAAATCAATATTTTGTCATAAAAAGAATACACATTTTTTATATATATCAAAATATATAATATAATTTATGTCTGCCTTTATACAAGGTGGCCCCAATTATTCCGGCCAGACTGGGATTTTATATGAAAAATTCTGAACAAAAATATCCCATAAACACATAATCACAATCTTTTAATACGTTTGTGCCGGAAAGTATACCTTTTATAACAAAACGTATTTTTGTTTTTATTTTACTTTCTTTCTATCTTCTGTTCTTCTTTCATCCTCCTATAATGATTGGTTTGAACAATGAAGAAAAATAAAAATTTTATAGTGAAATAACAAGTAGAGGAGACCTGGGCAAGTTGGCTATAGAGGTAAGATGACACATTGCTTATATTTTGATTATTTTTTAAAAAATTGCAGAATCAAGCAAGTGGGGAGTGCAAAACCATATTTCCAACTGTTTTTGAGATATTCAAGAGAAAATTTATAACTTTTTCAATCTTTAGCTTATGATATCTCGATAACTGTTTGTCGGAGGGAAAAGTAGTAGCAGGACTTTTTTTACTTGATTTGGTCTCAGAAATATGCTGTTGCAATAGTGATCCAATTATTGAAAATTTTTGTGTATTGTAATGTACACAAAATTTACATACACAAAAATTTTCAATAATTGGAGCACTATATAATTGCAACAGCATATTCAGGAGAGACCAAATCAAGTAAAAAAAAAAGCCCTACTTTTCCCTCCGACAAACAGCTATTGAGATATCATAAGCTAAACATTGAAAAAGTTATAAATTTTCTCTTGAATATCTCAAAAAGTATTAGGCAAATCAAAATATGTTTCAGACAAAAGTTGTTCATATTAATTAGTAGAATAAGATAGTGTAATAAACAATAGGGGGTTCCATTAAAAAAAAATGAAGCTGACCTTCACGTGACTTTATCGTCAAGGTCAAACTAACGGTACCATCTTATGTCCCCCTTCGAACCAAACAACTTTTGTCTAAAATGTTTTTTTCTGCGATCAAAAATAAAAAGTTATTTGGGGTGGGACATTAAATTGGGACACCCTCTATAAAATTACGTTATTATTAAAATTATAACATGATATATTGATAGTATTTTATAATAAACACCGGGAACAAATACAAATATAGCAGTTAGATTGCAATGCCAATGATAATCGCTATACCGAAATCATTGAATTCAATTTCTCTCAGTGAAAATGAAAGAAAGTTATAAAAATATCTTATAATGAATGTATAATTTTGGGCTATTGATTATATGTTGTTACAAATATTATTGGAATATCATTGGAATATAAACTTGTTGAAGCTTCACTGGCTTCTAATCTCCGTTTGTAAAGTATGAGACTATGAGTCAATCGATAACGTTCATTTCGTTCGGCAGCTTTAAGTCGGTGACGTCACGTTTACTCTCACTGTGTAGAAGGTGGAGAAAGGAAAGATTCGGCGATGCCAGCATCTTTCACTTCTGATGACGATGTAGGTTCGCGGTGGTTGATGACGCGGCACGTAGGTCATATAGAGACATGCAACATATAGGTATGCACACACATACACACACATTCATATCTACTTGTGTTATCAGGTGCGTATGCACATAACATATTGGTTGTCGGACAAATCTCGACATTCGTTAAAGGAACAAGTAATTGAAGTCTGTACGGACACACGGAAGTAAAAAGATTACAACAAAACAGCTACCTTGACTCAATTCCACTTGAATTTGTCTAATAGTGGTTTTTTTTAAGCAAGAGTAATTTTCGCTAACTATTACATTAATTTGAATAATTACTTCCGTCAATGTAATGTAAATAAACTTACGATTTAACAATCTGTTTAAACTGGAAGAGATATATATTAAATCGTTTGACTTTTATAATAAAAGTTGAAAACATTCTTATTACATATTTGTAATATTAGAAACAGAATGTAGTTAAATAATTTTCTAAATAAAATACACATTGTATGAATTATATTTTAATATTGTATCTACTTCTCTAATGATTATTTGTAAGACTAAAATTTTACAAAAGTTTTTCATTTATGAGGACTATGTAAAACCAGTGGATGAAAATCTATAATTACTATCCGTGGAAAAAACGATATGATTTCTGGTGTAATGACCTAGAAGAAAGCCACCCTGACCTAGTCGGATAACCGGCTCATCAAAGGCGATCGATACTCGGTAATCAGATCAAACTACCCTACTTCGCTTTGCGACATACACATTTATACGATCGACAACTGCGACGCAATTTGGTTCTCAAATTCTCAAACAGACTAACTATTGAAAAGTTACAATTTAACTTAAATATGTGTAAACTTGTTATTAAATCTTCGAAGCGCAGATTTCTACTTTTTTTTACAAAGAAAGCATTGATACCTATTTTAGATAAGCATTAAACTTCTTGTAAAAAAGTGTACTTTCATTTTTATACATGGCATTACAACCAACCTATATAGGTGCGCCAAGAGTTTGTTCGTCAGTTTGGAATTAAGATTGTTTTATACAATTTAGAATTTGTAACAGAATCCTCTACAGAATAGTACAATTGTATATGTATTGTGCACTAATGAAATTAAGTAATTATACATATTTGAGGTTAGATTGAAAAATTATTTTGTTAAGAAAAGGTATTTCAACACAAGTAATGTTATCTGACTAAAACCAGCCGAATTTTTATTGTGAAAAATATCTCACAACAGGGTTTGAACCTGGACCTCCCTACACTCTAGGCGGGCGTCTCACCAATTTGACACTAAGGCAAAAGTCATTTCAATAATTCATGGAAATTTTCATGTATTCTACGTGTTTTACTTTTAAAAGTGAGTTACTGACTTAACGCAAAGTCAATATGACCATTTCTATTAATTCCTGCAAATAGGTTCGATTATATAAATTCGACACTGAAAGCAATAAATTAATAATAAATTAGTTATGCCGTGTACTCGAATTTCTGTTTAATAAACGCGGTTAACAGAAATAAACGTGCCACGAATCTAATTCACCGGAACATCTTAATATTATAATAAGAGTATTTCAAAACTGAAAACAAAGCAGACTTTAATATTTTACTATGAATTGTTTTTTTACGTCAGAATGAAAGATAGCTGACGATTCGATGATATAACAACATTTTTATCTTCTCTACAAAAGTAATGATATCATCAAATGGCGCCAACTAAACTGAATATTTATACAAACTAGGCACTTTATTATTTTTTATATTAAAATGTTATAGCCAAAGAATCGAGCATAAAATTTTATCAGAAGAAATAAAGGAAATAATAATATTGACACCAATTTTTAATACTTATTCCGTAAAAAATTAATGCAGATAAACTTAATACAAATAAATATTTTATCAAAAGATCGCCTCTTCTAATTTAATTGTGGAATACATATCAATCCTGATTCATGTATATTGTAAATATTATACAATTAAAATATAAAATCTTTAATCAATTAGGTTTTCAAGATGTCACTATTAAACATTTAGTAGTTAATATAAATAACGTAAAATTGACTAAAAGTTGACTTCTAATTGCCATAAAGTAGACTTCTGATCGCCATAAAGTATAGACTTCTAATCATCATAAAGTCGACTTTTAATTGCCATAAACTCGACTTCTAAGTCGACTTTGGCTGACTGACAGCCGACTATAGTCGAGTCATTTGTCGACTATTAGTTAACTATAGTTGACATTCAGCTTGACTTTGAGGTCGACTTTAGACTTCTGCTGCCGACTGACAGTCAACTAATAGTCGACTTGGTGCTGTTTGGGCGTTGTTGAGATCCGAAAATCTGTGGGGCTGTCAACTCGCGTACTCGGGCGCGCGGTTCTAGCTAGCTTATACTTGGCGCGAGACACTACCGTGTCTCGTGATATGAAAAATATTATAACATATAACACCAACCCAAAATATTCTGTTTACATTTGTTGTGCAGCTGCAAGTATTTTTAGTCTTCTAAACAATGCAAGTTTCATATTGTGCATTTTGAAGAAGGTTAATTATTATATTAAATAATACACGACGTGACGTGTATTTTTATCTAGTGGACAGTTTTTCAGATATGACACATCGTTTGGAAGGCGTGCCAGGGCTAGGACTGTATAGGACTTCAACTTTTTCTTTTCATCGATTTCTTCCTCCATCCTTCGTCATTCGCGTCATCGGGACCTTATGGCCGCCCGTGGGCTGTGAAGGGGAAGCGGCTAGTTCCTTCCTAGGCGTATACCGACTGGTGATTTAGTGAGATCCGATCTGCGAGTGGAGCGGCCGATCAACTGGACCATAAATATCAGGTGTTTTTTGCTCGAACACAACACACACGTACACACGCACACATACAGATACATATATATTTCTTTTTCACGTAAAATAAGATCTCCAGTGAGAGGCAGCATTCTCGTTAGCGTTTAGCTTCTCTCTTCTTCGATTTCTTTCAATTCATAAGACGAAAATCTAGTATGGTTCCTTATATTACGGTTTTTCGGTGTACGTAAAAAGAGCTAGGACTTGCGACATCTGATTATTTACGCGGTATGATTACCGATCGATATTTTTATAATTGAGCGCTTCCCTTGGATAGCATGTATTTCGATAGCACTAATGGAAAATATTGTTACACCTGTATGTGTACCTATAGTTTTAGGTAAAAATGGTTTTCGCATCGAAAACTTTCTTCATTCGAAATCAATCAAATTGTTATCTGGAAAAATGGAAAAGAGGTATCGAGACGTAGCTCAACAGAATTGAAATCCGTGCGTAAGACATTACGTTCGTCGAAACGTTTTGCAACGTTGCACCTTTTGTTGCAATAAAATTAAGTTAAATCTCTTTAGAGGGGAAGCTTAAAATGATGCGTACAGAATAGAAGTCGGCACTTTAATTTCTCGAAATTTCAGTGCCTAAGACACGATTATTTATTCAATTATAGTTATTATCGTGCGAGAACGCGGGAGAAGAAGGGTCTACACGAGCGCTCCTCTGGAAAACTTAACTGCACTTTTATAGCGCCTCCCTCTCGACTTTAAACGAATAATTTTTATCCGCTAAACCGCCACCGCTGTCGCTACCGCGCATTCCACCCTTCCGATGCTGCCCTTGTCGTTCCGAGCGACCCCTCGTAAAATTAAGTCAAACAGCCACGGGATGCCGGGGTGCTATTCGCTTTCCAGCGTTACGTTCTCCTGTTAAGAGGAACCGAGTGCGACACCAGTCGCCTTTGCAAAAACGACCAAAAGGGACAGCGTGAATCATTCGTAGTGGGTAACAAATGTGGGAAACGTTGATTTCTTTGCAAAAATTACTAGATATATCGAACAAGTTATAATTATTTATTACCACTTTATTCTCGTGGCTTCTTATGTTTTTCTCTCAACATTAAAGACCGTCTCTGTATTACAGTGATTGCAATACCGGACCGGAGATAACAATACCAGTATTTCGATATTTATCGTACATACGACGGCATATCAACTTGGCATTTTGTATAAAAAGATTAGGTTTACGTATCGTAAACGTTATATAAAATACATTAAACCATAAATATAATTTATTGCATGTACTTAAAAAGAGACGTAGAATTAATTAGCTTAATCCAATCATACACAGTCCTTAAATTCTCTCTTTGCGCCTCGAGCATACACAAGTGCAATACGAATATACTTTCATTAAGATAAATGTTGCTTTTGAAGTACGGAAAAAAGGAGCTTGAAAACCGTGCACGTCTTTATGATGACAAATGTAGACACTAGCCAATTGCTAATTGCTGCACGATTTCTAGTAGAATTTTACGTTTTAAATTATGACTCGCTTTAAGACTTCCAAGCTCGTGTTTTCTTCTAACATGCCCTACAATTTGTAATGAACGAAATTTAAATTAAAATTGGTCGAAAGGTTAATTTTCCATTTTAATAAAAACGGGAATCATTTCTGCACGTTTGGAATGCTCTTGATTTTTTTCCGAATTTATTCTAGGTTATCTGTCAGCAAATGCCATGGTTACCTTTTGTACACTCTTATTCTAAATTTTGATGATAAATAATGGTGGAATGTTTACTTCTCTTATTACAACTATCTGTTTACGCGATGAACTTCGTACGAATGTCGTACGCGTTATGGATGTATCGGACCTATCTTCAAAATAGTACAAAGTCGCTAAAAATTTGTGAAATTGTTCTTTTAAGTTTCCTAATGCACTGCAAAAAAGTAAAAACGCATCCACTGAACAGTTGCTGAGCTATAACTATTTTAATTTACACTGATTTTACACGTACTCTTATGGAAAGAGCCTATCTTAATTATAAAAGAGCTAAAAAATTATAGAAGAAATAGTACTAGTGTTTTGAATTTTTTGGTACATCTAGTATACGAATAGACGAAAATATCTGCCAAGTTTCAATTGTCTTCACTACACTGTTTTAAAGAAATAAAATATAACTTAAGATAATTGTGCTATCGGCACAATATGTATTTTGATGGCTTATGAAAGCGTGGCAACGTCGCAATCAGCTGGGTAAGCGAAGCATAACCTATAGCTGTTGCTAGTGTTGCAACACGGTATATTTATGCCTTTAGTTTTTTCCTCAAGAAATTCGGCTTTAGTCCTGCTTTTCGTTGAGCGAGTTTTTTTTCATAAACTTCTTTCTTAATTATTTTGCCTTGCCACCGATAACTTTCCGTTTTTCATATTGTAACCTATCGAAATAACCTTGCACCAAGTCCCAGCCTCGCACTGTTTTGGTACTGTGCAAGGCTGCCAACCTATGTGAATCAAGTCATACAGTGTTGTCATGTCTATTTTGAGAGAGTCGTATAACAATGTTTATAAGTAATATTCAAAATTATCGTTTACATGATACATATTATACTTATTTTTTGACGTTATTGAAGTCACATTTGTTTATCAGCACTGCTGAATAATGTTTTTAGTTTTGAAAATATTTGACGTTATATTATTAAATTGAAACCAGGGAATTTTCACTATCAATAGTTTAGGCTCATAAGTGAAAAACATCGCAAATAATGCAGGAAAAACATTTGTAAAATGAAAAATACTTTTGTAAGAGTAAAAATGAAACTCCAACTATCGTTCAGGTTCTCACATCTAGATTTACTATGCATCAAGAGTAGATATTCAAGTATTTTAAATTTCATGCACCTTTGTCTAAGATTGTACGTCCGCTACATTCTTAATACATGGCATTTCTTTTTTTTACCGATCCTTTTAAGGTTTTATTATATGATATTGTCACTTTGAATTTTTTCATTGTGCGATACATAACTGCTGTTTGAACATATTTAAATTTTCTATTATTAAAAATATCAGGAGCGCATTCTTTTCCCATTCAAACAATGCGATAATAGCAACACAACTTTCATTTCATTGTGAATATATGACGACTAAATGTTCTTGCAGCTGTATCGTATTATTATAGTTAACTAATAATGTCACAGTTTGTTGAAATTTATTGAAATCTTACTGACTGTGTATTGCTTAGAAAATTTATAACAGAATCTATGGACTATGTATAATATAATAATATAATATATGTATAAAAGTAATTTATGCGTGCGTATGTGCACGCTCAATTAAGACAGGTTGTAGTTTTTGTTTCGTTAAAGTAAAGAAGAACATGCAGAAAAATTCAATGTTATACATATAACAAATTTTGTTTTTAATCACTTTTTCCATAAGTGCAATACTATACAGTAATAAAAAAGCGTAATTGCACCATTTTTAAAAATAAGCCATACATTATACAGAGTGGGAAAAAGTACCGAGACCCCGAAATATTTCGAAAAATATAATTATTATGAAAAAATATTTCAGACACAAATTGTAGGGTTTCAAGTAACTCGTTACATAACAGTATCAGTATGATCTTGAATAGCGTTGTCAAGGTCACGTGAAGGTTATCTTAAATTTCTTAATCGGAACCCCCTTATTGTTTATTATACTATCTTATTCTACTAATTAATATGAACAACTTTGTCTGAAAGAGGTTTTGATTTGCCTAATACTTTTTGAGATATTCAAGAGAAAATTGATAATTTTTTCAATATTTAGCTTATGATATCTCGATAACTGTTTGTCGGAGGGAAAAGTAGTACAAAACTTTTTTACTTGACTTAGTCTCAGGAATATGCTGTTGCAATAGTGATTCAATTATTGAAAAATTTTGTGTATATAAATTTTGTGTGTCACATAACCTTGACAACGATATTCAAGGTCATACTGATATTGCTATGTATGCGTTACTTGAAACCCTACAACTTTGTCTGAAACATTTTTTCATAAAAATAATATTTTTCGAAATATTTCGGGGTCCCGGTATTTTTCTTCACCTTCTGTTGTAATTGTTAGGATAATAAATACAATTAAATCTGTTAAAAAGACTAACTAAATCGAGTCTTTATATTTTATACAAAAATATTAAAGTGAAATTGTAAAACAACTTAGTAGTTTATGAAAATTTTTCATATTTGTATTGTTTGTATATCTTCTTTTCTTAAATATATTTAAACTAAAATACAATTTTATATCTTTTTACATAAAATATTTTTATATATTTAAAATTTGTTATTTTTAATTATTTTAATTACTTTTATATACTTAAAATTTTTTATCTGCTATTTGTGGCAAAAAATATGTAACCGCAACTTGCAATTTATATTTTTCTTAAGTGCAATAACATATTTTTTATATTGATTAATAATAAATATTGTTTAATCTAATTATTGATAGAACATAAAAGTATTAAAGTTATTGAAAAATGGGCCATTAAAAATGTTTTCTTTCAAAATATTTCAGAATAAGATAAAATTTTTTATATATACTATTAATTCTTGTCTATTATCGTACTTTAATACTTTTATTACTGTAATATATGTAGAATGCCCAGAAGGGTCGAATTTTATAAATGTAATTCCAGTAAAAAAATAATAAACTTGTATTTTTCCTTTGTGTTATGCATTTAAATACGAAAAAGGCAAGCTAAAAAATATATTTTATTACAATATAACATTAAATTTTTTTCTTTCTTTCTGTGAGTTTCAACGAAACAAAAACACAATTCGAATTGTGATTTATCTTATGTAAAATAATTTATATAAAGTAATTGATGTAAGTGCAATATTTAAAAATAAAATTATACAATGTTAAAAAAATTAATTTGAACAAGACTATCATAGTAGAATCGATTATTTTGCAAGTAGAGGATTTAAAGAAATCTGAATTCATCTTTTATAAATGGAATCATAGAACGTTTGTTTTATACGAATTCATTTTTATTATTTGTTATATTGTGTTACTTATGAGTGTGAAAGTATTGAGACGTTGTGGATATTTTACAAAATATTTCTCATAATTTATTTTGACACAAAATATAAAATAATAATAATATTAATATTTAATAATAATATTTCTATGTGAATATTGTATACCATTTCCAATTTAACAAACTGCGTAATGATTACTTCTCTTAAAACACAGTTTTTTGTTGAAACAACACATCTACACATTCAAATTGATAATCGATTTAGCTTTAAATTTAGCTTTAGATGTTTTACCGAAATTACCGTAAAGAATTTAATAAAAAAAATTGTTTTATTGTAGCCAGGGTTCGGACCTGGTCCTCCTTACAATTCGTGACCGGTGTCTTTATTAATTCGATTTTTAAAGCACGTAAATTAGAGAAAATCAAAATACAAAATTTACATAGAAATGTTATTAGGCTGTCAAGATTCATCCGACTGAATATAGCATCTTCTTCATTTAATTGTAAGAATCATATCGGTCCAATTTCTCTTATTATTCTTATCTCGTAAAATACTTTTGGATGCTCTTAATACTTTCATGTATGTGTAACAGAAGGAATTGATTTATGATTATAATGTTTACTGCATTTGAAATGCATGATAGCATTTTGTTATTTGTTATTCTATTGTGCACAATAGACTTAAAGTAAAAAAAATGGTGTTAAGATATTTAATGTTATTTAAAGAAATTGAAAGTACGAAACAAAAAGTGATAGTTGATATTTTATTACACATATAATCTATTTCGTACTCAATTCTTTGATGATTTTATTATTTTACATACACACGTGGCACCAAGAGAAATCAAGATAGATGATAAAAGTTGTATGGATTTATAAAATATAAAGATAATTTTGGAGTAACTTTAATGTTTTCATTAAACTAATTTTTTCCGCATCATTACGTACAGTAATGGGATTAAGTATTTTACTTAGCAGATGCATATCTGTAGTGTAATGTCGAATTCCCTATGATTACTTTGCAAAATAAAAAGTAAATAAAAGTACACTCGAAATAAATGTGTATGTACATACACACAAATATCTTTTTATTACAATTTTATCGTAATTATTTACATATTATACTATATAAGCATTACTTGTAAAAGATTCGATTCCTTACGTATTCTAAAATTTAAGATTTGATTAATTACTTTGCAAGTACAATGTATGAGATACCGACTGATCTCCTTTTTCTGGTTAAAGTTCTCTGGCCCAGAATGAACGTTTAAGTAGAAAAACCGAAAATTGCATAAAATCGAGATACGACATTGCGAAAGAGATCAGTCGTTATTTCTTATCAATATTATTCGATTCCTAGAAAAGAAAATTTGATTAATGGCTTTAACTCGGATTTTTAAATACATATTGAACGTGATTCTCCATCCTTAATTAAGTCTTCTTCTGAATTAATCAACCATCAGTTTTTCATATATATTTTCATATTGCTCTGTCCTTGATATAAATGAATTATTACATCAGTCATTTTGCATCATTTTATATATGTATATAAAAATGTAATTGTATATAGGGTGATCCAATTTAATCGAATCATTCGTAAAAGTGATCACTTATATGACATTCGCCGCTCGCCTCTCGCCCTTCGTCTATTGGGTCGTAAGAGATGTAAACCATTTTGCACGCCTGCTGAGTTTGGCCTATCGTTTCTTGTGCGCTCATTCGTTCAGGCATTTTTGTTTATTGCTAAATAATTTTTACAAATTTGCAGAATGGTATATGACTTTTTTACTCGGTTTGTCCTGTTATATTTACCCTCTATAGGTGATTTGATTAAAAAGCGATACTGTACTTGTGTATATGTAACAGTATTTTTGTATATAAACAAGTTGTTTTTCCAAAATTGTTGAAAATAACATTAACAGTTTTTTAAAAATTGTGTATAATACTTAGTTTAGTTTGTTTACAAGAATTTTTAACCTGATATATCATTAAATATACATATAACTCTATCAGAAATAATTACTTATTCCATTTATTTAATATAAAATTTAATTAATTTTTATTAATATAAATTTGTATATAGATTCTTAATAAATGCCATACTGATATAATTGAAACGCTGGTATTTAAAATCTGGAATAATGCGATGTATCAACTTTCCAAATAACAGTACTGCAATCATTCTTTTACATACTAAACTCTCGGTGAATTTGTATGTACTTTTACGAAGAAAAGAGGGATCTCTTAGCTCTAAGTTTTCTGTAATGTTTAATTCTGTTTCTAGAAAGATATGTTTAATACAGTTGTATTTAATTTATTACAAACTGTTAGTAATAATAGCAAGGTTAACTGAAGAGGATATGACGTGAAAAAACAAAATCGAGTTTTGTGATTGTTTAATGTGATGCTGGAGTGATTCTGCACTTTTGCACCTTTCTAACCTAGAAACTATCAGTTCGCGGAAACACTTGTGTAATATACAAATTAAATGACTTACGTGTACAGATCGAAAGCACCTTGCTATTCCGGCTAAATGAAAGAACAATATATATAACATCACTGAAACTAAGTTTGTAAGTCTAATAAGAAATAATAGTGAGCAACACACACATACAGTACATGTGGTATGTGTGTTGCTCACTATTAATTTTTATTAGACTTACAAACTTAGTTTCAGTGATGCTATATTGTTCTTTCATTTAGCCGGAATAGCAAGCTGCTTTCGATCTGTACACGTGAGCCATTTAATTTGTATATTACACAAATGTTTCCACGAAACAGACAGTTTCAAGTGCAAAAGATGCAAAAGTGCAGAATTACTCCAGCATCTCCTTAACATGTCTTTACTGGATGACCTTATTAAATTTCTTATGTTTTAATGTCTTTATGTTATGTTTTAATATTTTTATGTTATGTTTTAATATCTTTATTAAACCTTCTCGCATATATGTCTTAAATAAAAATTTTATAGTTAAATAAAAAGAATTGTTATATTTTTACATGTTACGTGAATAATTAGGTTTTTGCATAAATGTCGGGGTCGCATTAATGTTGGGTTGAATGTTGCAATGAATAGGGTATACTTATACTGAAAACAAACATATATTACATATAGAAATATTATTACTTATCTTATTTGTAAATACTCTTAATTGAGAAGGTATTGAAAAAAGGAAATATATTACGTTGGTGAAATCTATCTGTGTAATTCGTACAAATTTGCGCAACGTAATTTATTAACCTTGATGTATCCGATGTACAAATTTGTAAGCTTTTGTTTTGTAACAAAAACTTTGCAAAGTTATGTAGAAGAATATTTGTTATTATCAAGTACAGAATAAAGAAATGGTCGAATAAAACAACTATTTTCATTCTTCACATTTGTCATATTACAGACGTATATACACATGTATGGGTGCATGTGTGCAACACGCGCGCGGGCGCACACACACACACACACGCACACACCGAAATACACGGCGCATAAAATTATAAATGGAATTATATTTTTAAATCTGTCGCGAATTTTACATTGTCGGTCATGTTTAGGCTTTTATATTGAAACTTTTATCAATTTTTAGTTTAATGTGTTTGACGCAAAAATCGATTCGCGTATTTATTCAATTGATAACGTAATCATATACAATGATTATAAAAATGAATTTACT